AAAGATCAAAAGCCCACTTTGCAAGCGCCAAATGCCTTTGTAAATCCAGATATTACCTTGGCTATGCTGTATATACAGTAGCCTGTACAGAGAGCAGAGATATGGGAGGGACCTGTCAGGCTCCTCCCACTACAGTCTGCCTGCAGAGAACTACAGAAGGAGGCAGATGCAAGACCAGTCACCCCACACAAGGAGAGAGAGCAGCAATGACCGGTCTTTATTACAGGAAGCTCCTGCACAGAGGCAAAGTTTCCACACTGGATTTCTGCACAGATCTGGAAGAAATACACAAAAAACACTGAGGGGGTATTCACAAAAGAGTGAAGAGTTTGGAGAAGGGAGGAGAAGAGAACAATCTAGGACAACATAGCTGAACTGGAAGAATTGTCCAATTCATCTCACTTTCCAGTTCAGCTATGTTGTCCTAGATTGTTCTCTTCTCCTCCCTTCTCCAAACTCTTCACTCTTTTGTATATAAGCCTCCAAAAATGGAAGTAAGAATACACATGCCTCTTTTATTTAGGCAACACTTGCTAATCCTGGAGTTCAGCTTTAAGGCAATGAGCACCTTGGCGGCCAGTCACTGTTCCATGCATTTCCGACCTACGTAAATGTCACATCCCAAGGTAAGAGACTGCCCTTAGCAATCATGTGAGAAATTAAAAAGTTACTTCCTACTCCAACAAACTTCCTAAAAACAGAGTCATCCAGAACATCGAGAACAATGTGACTTGTTTATCTGAGTGCTTTAAGGATTATCTGTGTGTTGTTACAGGCACTGTTAGTTTCTGTTATTTCTATTACACTGCATAAGTATTCATTGCATATATCATGTTATGGTATAATCCTGACCTCTAGTGGTATATTAGTGCTATTACAACTTGTTTTTCTGTATACATTTGGTATTTCCCACTGTCCTCCCCTCCTGTTTAGTGTCAGTTGGTATAATCTTAGGTATACCCTCCATGCTTCTTCCATGTTCCCTCATTGTATCTCTAGCCCTCATATAAGACACTAGGCTTGGAAGATCTATTGTCTTTTTGCACTTCATGTGACCAGCAAACATCCTCCATCTAGAGGCCATAATGTGGCATTATAGTATATTACATTTGACCTAAAAAGAAAATATACTAAGGCCCCGTTCACACCTTTCCGTTTTGTCGGGTGTTCAACGCTCTATGAACGCTCTACAAAACGTACAACCATGAAAATCCCATTGTTTTCTATGGGTATGGTTCACACCTTTCCGTATTTCCGCCCGTCTGAACGCCCTACAAAACGGCTGACGCCCAAACAAGTACATGTACTTCTTTGGGCCGTTTTGGAGGGCGTTTTCCATTGGGATACAGCCAAGTAGCCTTCGTAATTGCGCGACGGTCGCGCAATTTTTTTACCGTGAATCGCGGTAAAAAAAACGTGTGACGGTCGCGCGACAGACGTGCATACGTAATACGCCTAGGTGTGAACCCAGCCTAAGAACGTTCATATTTGCCTCTATTCACACACAAGGAACATTCAAGTAGATTCGCAGGGCAAATGGCACTGTGAATTGTTTTTAAATATACCCTGATATTCCATGATTTTACACAAGGCTATAAATACATAAGTAAAGTGACTAATCTTCTCAATGTATTCATATTACATCAGTATATTCACTTTATAATAACTGTATATTGTGATGAAGGATTTCTGTCCTTGTATTAGTTTCTTCCACAATGATATTATTTCTGCATATACACTTTTATACACCTACCTGTAAACAAAACTTATTTCCTTCTTGGAAAATTGCTTTTATATTGACCTAGTAAGAACCAAGGCCATAAACACAGGTGCAAGTTTTATCTCCAGGTAACAATGGACATGTCTGACTGGAAATACACAAGTCTGCTACCTGTACCTGGAAATGTCAATATGCTTCTGTGTAAGTACTCAATAAATGGAACCGTGTCAAGTTGTGGTCACATAAAATAAACATTGCATGACATAAACACATGTGAAGTACACGGAGTGTTCTGTAAGGGAATCCACTTGTTTTATATGCCACTGATTAATACTAAGTGTCATTGTCAGTTCTAAGGCAGCTCAGGAAGGGTCTGGCAGTGCGCCTCACAGAAGAACACCAGGAAGAAAATAATTTTCCTGAAGCAGAGCTCCAGGGAAATGTATTATTAACCCTTGCAGTGGGGCTACCCCTGCCATGTAAGATGTAAGAGCTTGTTTCGGTCTTGGGAGGAAAATAATAAAGCTATACTTTGCCTGTCTCTTCCGCTACAGTGATGGTATGTCCCATCGGTGTCCTCACATGCTATACATAAAGGGCAATTTATCAAAACTGGAGTGGACAGAATGTGGAGCGCCAAAGTAACCAATCAGCTTCTCTCTTTCATTTTCAAAGTTTAACTGAGCAAACTGAAGAAAGAAGCTGATTGGTTGCTATGGGCAACTGCTCCACATTCTGTCTGCTCCAGTTTTGATAAATTGCTCCCACAGTTTATAGAATGTGATAACTCCTTAGACCGCTGCAGCGGTGGGGAAGAGAGGCTCCAAGGACCAGTCTAAGAGCAAGTTGGCTCATAGGATCGGGTGAGTGTAACTTTTTTATTTTTCTCCCTAGACCTAAATGAGCAATGAACCCTTGCAGTGCAGGGGTGTCTATCTATCTATCTATTGTATGTCTGTCTATCTATCTATCTATCTATCTATCTATCTATCTATCTATCTATCTATCTATCTATCTATCTATCTATCTATCTATCTATCTATCTATCTAATCTATCTATCTTTTGAAATGATCTTACACACTTCTTTAAACTTTATAAGATTGGATACAAATATCTGTATGTTTCTTTTTTGTTACAGTGTAGACCTCTCCCAGGAATTCATTCATGATCTGTGATGTTCGATGTACATTTAAGTTTAGGTTGCCAGTTTTTGTTGTAGTGATGAGGAAAGGTGTGGCTGTCACTTCAATTCACAAGCCTTATGAAAGGCCGCGGCTTGGTTACAGCATTGATTGACAGCGCGGCCTCCCAGTGCTGGCCACAGCTTCCCATCACAATACACTGGCAGGAGATTGTGGAAGTCTCTCTGTTGCCTCTGACAACCTGTCTCTGTACAATAAAGGAGAACAACACTACAACAAACAGAGAGCATCACAAAGCAAGGAAGTCTGGATAAAAAGGATTTCAAGAGGAAAACAGTGAGTTTTCTATAAAAATTGTTAACTATGGTTTTGTTTTGTTTCTTTCGTGCACAGCGGAGTAAACCTGATACTGAATCAGGCCATGTCATACAGTGGGCTGAATTTAAATGCACAGTACAAAGAGGGGCTTTAATTGCATGCATAGCAGGGATGTTTTGGTGGATTAAAAGACTATTAACTTTGTGATAATTAGCTGAGGGCTTCAGAAGACATACTTGTTAACTGCTGCTGCTATATACAAATTCTTCACTTTCTTTATATTTTTTGCATAACATTTCGGTGATAGATTTTGAAGGGGAAATTTAAAGTACTTTATCTACAGTATTGAGGGGCTGTAATTTAATGTGCTGCATATTTATTCACCATATGCTTCGTATGTGGACAAAAGGCAAAGCGTCACCCCACATTATCAATGAGCAATTTAAATCGCCCCGCATGTGTCCGCTTTTCTCTTTTATGTGCAGCACTTTATGCGATCATTCACTTAACATGAGGATGATCCTTTTTGTATAATACTTTCCTGGAAATGTAAAGATAGTTCGCAGGTGGACAGCTCTGACCCCTGCCAAGTGCTTCCATTGGACCTGTGACTTCAAAAGGTGTGTGTGGGGGGCGTGGCAAGGGCACTGTGGCACCACGTCCATAAATCTCACGGACCAACACAGCTTATCAGTGGCTCCAAGTCCAGAACTCTTACGGACTGAAATATATAAGCCAGTCCAGAAATCTGAACTTGGAGCCACTGATAAGCTGCGTTGGTCCAAGGGTTTGATGGACCTGTTGTCGCAGTGCACTTGCGCATACGACAGAGCCCTAGGGCAGTCTGAATCCTAATACAGTGGGGGAATTTATCAAAACTGGAGCAGATAGATTCTGGAGCAGTTGCCCATGGCAACCAATCAGCTTCTCTCTTCAGTTTGCTCAGGTAAGATTTGAGCATGAGACAGAGAAACTGATTGGTTGAAGTGCAAATCTGCTCCAGATTTTGTTTGCTCCAGATTTTATAAATTCCCCTCAGTCTGCCTAAGACCCCCCACTCTTTCAGATTGACATCCACCCATCAAGGCATTTTGATATTTGCATAACTTCTTCCAACTGCCAACCCTCTTCTTTCATCATGGCTGAGTGTTCCTGAGAGTAGTACTTTGGCAGAGTGCTGTGATGTTTTCAAGAAGCTAGGTACAGCACCCTGCTGGTCCCTTCCACCAGCCATGAGCTGCCTGCATTCCATAGAAAAGCGCTGAGACCCAGAGATGAGGTCACTGGATCTAAAATATGGTATGTAATGAAAACAGAAACATTTAATGAAAAAAATTATTCACATTTTGATGAGGGGGGCCAGAACCAGGAAAGGAAAAATATAAGCAGATTAAAATAAAGTATTAAGGTTGTGATAGGTTTCCTTTAAATATTTTAAGTAGTAGGAATGGTAGAGTGAGGAGAGCCCAGATGAATGGTTGAGAGTCCAGTTCAATTTTTATGCCTCATAAGAGTAATAAGGATAGTCAATGCGTTTCTGGAGCTTGACCGATCCCCTTTAATCAAGGCTGCAGGTGTGAGTTTCAATAAGCTGGACTGGGAGTGGGTATCCTGGCGTAGATTTCTCTAGCATGAATTAAAGGCCTGCTTTAGTCACTGGTATACCAGCATGAGAGTAGACTCATAACCAAAATATAAACAGGTCTAATTACCTATCAAAATCTTTTTCCAGAGCTCCACGAATATATCTTCATTTAAATATTTTCTGTGTTGCCTAAGTTTCCATTTTTCTTTTTCAGGTCTTACCAGTTGACTGAGGATGTCTGTCCGCAATCGTTCCCCACCTGGATCCTCAGTGCCACGCCTGCCTGTTATAGAGCATCCACTGTCCCGCCTAGGAGACCCAGACACCTTGTCTCTCAGAGGGTTTTCCAGAGCAGGGGGAGTGCAGCATGAGGAAGAAGAAGGACTGTACTCTAGACGGAACCTGCAGACAGCCTCTTCCTCTTACAGTGACAGGAGCCTTACCCCACTGAGACATCATGTGCCATCGGGTGTGCAGGTCACTCTCTCCTCCGACCAAAACAAGACAAGACTACCTATATTTGGTAAGTCTGGAATCTAGGGATGTTCAGATACCAAGTACCATACTCGGTACAAGTACATACACCGATACTTTCTAGCTCCAGGACTAGACTAGAGAAAAAATTAAAAAGTTAGGAGGCAGCTGTCATTTTTAAGGAGCACACGGAGCTCCTGGGATTTGTACATTCCCGTTTTAATGCATTATTTTTTTTAAATAAATATATATAAGTGATGCACCGATACCATTTTTCCAAGTACTGATACTTGTCCAAGTACTCACAGATACAAGGACTGATACTTGTCCAAGTACTCACAGATACAAGTACTGATACATTTTTGTTTATTTCATGTGACAGTTTTTCTAAAACAATACAGACTAATGATTTCAGGACAGCGCCGGAGCCAGGTCCCAGCGGCAACCACTGCAACCCTGGTAGTTCTCGTGAAAATGCCAAGTATCGGCACTGGTATCTGAACTGGTATCTGGACATCCCTACTGGAAACATATCAATTATGCAGTATTTAGAATACTAGTTAAATGCTTCGCAAACCATTGTGTTACATCTGTGGTGAGGGAATCTACTTATATTTTGCAAGGTTTCAGGATCTCTCAGGATTCCCTTCTTCAGGGCGACTCAGTCACTGTTGGTTTATGGTGAGGGTGCACAGTAGGCGGATGCTATTGTGTACATTGTACATGGATAGTATAGCATTTAATCTGCTTGTTTACAGATGAGTTAGGTATTATCCAGGAAATTGCTATTTGGCATTAAGAGTCCATGAACAGAGGTAGATTGTACAGTACAAATGTTTTTGTGTAGCCATGTGAACCTCTTATAGTTTCTGACGTGCCACTAGTTGTTGCTAAACAGGACCTGCAGAAAGCATTGATAATAGAAAGGAAAAAACAGATTGTTAACAGGAAGAGTTACGATTGGGAGACAAGGTCCATTAATAGGTTTGAATAATAAAAAAACAATAACCTTTAGTTACATCAAATCAGTTAAAAGTGTTATATGAATAAGAATTCTGCAATGAAGACAGCATAGCAAGCTACATCTTACCTGGCACAAATGGAGACGTTGAAAAATATGTATAACAAAATCCCAAAAGCTGGGTAGATCGAAGCAAAAATGTGACTTTATTAATCAGGATTATACAAAGTTACAGAGCGGAAAAAAAAAACATGGATTCAGCCGCACTTTGTCAAGTGTAACAGTCAAAACATTTTACACTGTAAAGTTATATATATATATACAGAAGATAAAAGGGAAAAAAAAGGTGTGAGGGCTCTGCTGGGGGAACATCACCAAGTAGATGTATTTGTAAAAAATAAGTCAAGGCAACTGGACTTGCTGTATTTTTCTTGAAGATGTTTCACTGGGCATCCAACCATCTTTCTCAATTCAGAATGACTTGCACAAAATAATTATCTGGGAATAAATTTGGTGAATGTTGCTCCAATCCATGCAATCTGTTAGTCACAACCAAGTGTTGATTGCATTTGCATAATTGGAGTCTAGGAGGTGTTATTAACCTGCCCAGAGAGAGGTGTTAAAACAGCATTGTATGTGGCAGACAATAGATACCTACCTGGATGAATGAGAACCTTCACAGACACACCAGGTAGATGGCCTAGGTGACCAGGCCTGGCTAAACAGCCATTTCTCATCATCAGACTCTTTTGAGGGATCAAGGAGATGACTTCTCACTTATCATGTCAAATCACATGTATGCTAGTGTGCTCTCTCTTAACCAATTAGAGAGAGAGTAAGCCACACAGAGGGCACCTTAGTGAAATTAAAGAATAACTCCAGGATTTATTAAAATTAACCTCATTACCCTCATCTCTCCTCCAGCTGTCGTATATCCCTCGGCATCCTCACATCTAATACACCTGCATTAGACGTGAGGACGCCAAGGGACATACAACAGCTGGAGTGGAGGAGGAGAGAGGTGAGCAGTCACTGCTGCAAGACCGCGTATCAGGCGAGTTTATCTTCTTTTTTTCTCCCCTAGAAAAAAATGAGCAGTGTGGAGGTTGCCCAACCTCAAGGGTTAATTTTAATAAATCGTGGAGTTATTCTTTAATCTCACTAAGGTGCCCTCTGTGGCTTGCTCTCTCTCTCTCTAATTAGATAAAAGAGAGCACACTAGCATTCATGTGATTTGGTTCTGTTAAAACATGAGCAGTGAGAAGCCATCTCCTTGATCTCTCAAAAGAGTCTGATGATGAGAAATTGCTGTTTAGCCAGGGCTGGTTTACCTTGTTTACCTGGTCTACCTGGTGATGTTCCCCATTCTTTCCCAAAGACTATTTTGACACTGCTACCCGACACATACTGCATGAGTTGTTCCACATAAACATGAGGAAATAGTCACTCACTGTACACACAGTGTACTCAGACAGAAACATGTTCACAGAGATGTACCCAGCCAGGAACACGTCTGCAAAGGGAAGCAGAACTTTGCTGACTCAGCCAGAAGCATGTCTGCAGAGACAAAGTCTGTATCTCTCTAACAAAGCCAGAAACATGTTTGCATGGATAGAAACATAACCGTACTGACACAACCAGAAATTAAATTTAAAAAAAAAGCAAAAACAACTATGCAACAGAGTTCAGCAAACCTCTAAGTAAGTTCAGCAATGGCGTAGAATGTCCACTCAACCTTCCACATGCATGAGCACTCAAAATTACAGTGACAGCTTTCATTTCTCACTTACCTTAGCCAGATGCCACAGCAGTCAATAGACCTCTGCTTTGGCATCTTGGGAGAGGAGGTAGCACACTGTCACCAACTTCCCCGGCATGTAAGCCAATATGTCCACTGCATTCCCCAGCTGCACAGTATGCAATGAATGATACATGCTGGGAGGCCTTGGATGTGACCCTAGAATTGGACAAGTTTTAG